AAAGTATAATCTCTTTCATTTATTATTTAACTGAAAGGTATTTTCAGCCTATGACTACAGCAAACCACTTTTCTTTGGTGCAGAAAGGCTTAGCTGAGCAGGTAGGAGCTTTAACCTCTTGCAGATTTCCCTTTCCCAGCTAGCAGCACAGGCTAGCAGCACCTTTATCTGTACAGGAAGGCTGAGCCAGCACCTCAGAGGTCTCTGCCTTGAGCTGGTAGGAACACAGATATCAAAAACCCACCACTGAAGAAGTGATAGCCTCCCTGCACCTTCAGATAACTCCTGTGCCGATGCACACTGATGAGAGAGTTAATGAAACACGAGAGAGGCAGCGGGCAGGAAAGCACACCTGCAGGCACCCTTTCAAGGCTCTCTGGGGCTGACTGTATCGGGAGGGCCACGGCAGGCTTGCAGCTGGGCTGGCAGGAACTGGGAGATGCAGAGGTGTCTCTATGGTTAGTGTAGAAACCTGTCTGGGGAGAGCTTCCTGAAACTTTCTTCTTCGTCTATTTTGCCTCTCTGGCAGATGTGTGCACAGAGCGCGGCTTGGAGCTGCGGTGATGAGTAGTGATTGAATCAAGGGGTAAAAGTTGTTTTCTCCATGAAATGAAATTTCCTTGGCTGTGAGTCGAGCTAGGCTGTAAACGTGGATTTGTGCAGTCTGAGAAGTGGAGGCTGTTTTACAAAGCAATTAAAAATTCAGCAATCATTCTGATACTCAAATGGATTGGAAAAATGCCTTCTAGAAATGTCATGTATCAAGAGGGATTATAAAAAACAAAAACAAACTCAACAACCTGATCACCAATAATTTATGGAAAAATAATAGCAGAGTGAATACATTTTGCAACCCTTAACAATGAGCTGTTTAACCACTGCCAGCCTGCAAACACAGCTGAAGGCAGAATTTGGACCTCTCTGGTATATCTTCATTATCTCACCTCCAGCAGTCACTGAGAGCAAAAAAGTCACAAACAAGTTTATGCTGGTAGCAGGGTCTTCAGTGAAAACCACTGAGACATCAAAGTCAAGTTCAAAGAAAAGAGGCAAACAAAGGGAACAAGTGCATTTGGTCAGGAAGCATGACTTCCTTTTGAATTAAGACATTAGACTGGAGATTGAAGGATGTGACCAGGGTCTTTCCTTGGCCACCCAGGCAGAACTCCACCATTGCTCCTGAGAAATGTCTGCTCTCATTGACTCCACCCGTGCTAGGAAACAAGGACACAGGCAAAATGCAGACCAGTGCCTCAAAACCATTCTTTCCTGAACTGAAATGTTTTTAACATGCTCATTAAACACAAAACAAATCAACAACCAAAAAAAGAAAAACCTACCAAAAAACTCAAAACAAAGAATTACCAAAACAAAACAAAAACCAAAACCCCAACACATTTTAAGTAGATTTATAGGAACAAACCTTTTGTTTTGTGCTTTGCCATTACCCTGCCTCAGATCAGGAATGGGGTAGAAATACAATTAAATGTGGCAGGAGTAAGAGGAGGTTATGATTATGATGTTCCCATCACAACGCTGCAGAAACATCCTCTGCCTATGTGTCTGCCTGTGTGGGCTTGAAGGAGGGGTGATTGCCATTGACTTAGCTGGCTCAGGTAAGGATCAAGATTACAAATACAGAGAAAAAAAAAAAAAACTGGCTTTTTTGAAGGATCACTCTACGCTATGGAGTATTCAAGCTGTGCTTGCTCTCTGCTTTACCTTCAGCAGATTTATTTTGGCTCCTAACTACAAAGTCTGGCTCTTTCATTCAAACTCTAATATTTTTTTCCCAAACCAATTCAAACTCTGGCCCTTTTTCAGTTTAGGCTTACAGCTGTCACATGGGTCAGACCTGGGGGAGTTGAAGCCCCAGGATTCCCTGCATAGAAGGTTGAAGAATGACAGGGAATTGGCTGGGAAACACCTCACACTCAGGTACTTTTCTTTTGTTTTTGCCCTGGCTCCTTTGCCTCTTCATTTTTAATTAGTGGCACATGCTGAAATGATAATTTAAATTCTTTTCAGAAATCAAAAGAATTCCCACTGACAACATTATTAAGTTATAATTACAGAGGATAAAAAGGTTAATAGGAATTTGAGCCAAATATCTACTCTCCATTAAATGAGAACTTGACTTAACCTGCTTTCCTTTCATTTTGGTAGGTTACTCTAGGTTTGAATGTGTCCAGGATGGCCACACACCTGCGCAGAGGGCCACTGCTAGGACGGGTAGCTGTCACCAAGCCCATTTACCCAGACCTACCTCAGGACAGCTCTTGCCTGACCAGCTCAAGATGGAATTTGCCAGAAGGGTGGGAGTCCTCTTGGGCCTCTGAAAGATGTGTATTTCAGACAGTGAGAAGAGCAGGGTCACACAGGGACGTTTGTGTGAGAAAGGTGTTTAGGAGGTGGCACTTTGCTGCAAGGGAAATGCAGCCACTATTGGTGGAGGGAAATAGTCAGCTTCCTGGGCCTATCATCCAAAGAAAGCCTTTTCCTTCACATATGCTGGGCACCACATGCACGCAGAAACAAATGCAAACTGGCCTGAATCTACTGAGTGTTTTGTATTTTCAATGAAACAAGAAATGGGGAAAAGAAACATTTTCCTCCACATTAGCTCTCATTTTCTTCCACATTAGCTCTAAGTGTGCCCATCAAGAAGACGATTATTGTAATAGTTATACATGTTTAGAATGGATTTCAAAGGAAGTGAGGGTGTAGGGGAAAAAAAGCCCACTCCTTTTTCTGGGCACCTACAGGCTGAGCTTCCATGGCTCCCAGCACTGGGATAAAGCCTGTTTAAAGTGAAGCAAGATCTGCGCAGTTACCACTGTTGCCGTACAAGGCAGGAGTTTCGCCTTGAAGTCCTGTTGTAAGCTTGGCCTTCCTTTTTCCCGTTTTTTCTCTTTAAAAGCTGTAACACATTGCCTAAGCTGTGTGGCGTGCCTCAAGGCAGGCCTTTCCCTCTTCCCAAGTCGCATCTTGCACAAGCGGTTTGAGGCGTAAGCCCGGCAGCCCTGGCACAGGCAGGGGCTCCCCCAGACTTCCCCTTCTCCGTAATCCCTGCCTGGTCCCGGGCTCCTGCCTATGGTAACCGCTGAGAAACAGCCTCGGGGCTCTCCCTGGCCCCCAGCGTTGGGTTGAGAGCCCAAACCGCGCAGGATGGATGGATGCGAGAGCCCAAACCGCACAGGGATGGATGGATGCGAGAGCCCAGACCGCAAAGGGATGGATGGATGGATGGATGTGAGAGCCCAGACCGCGCAGGGATGGATGGATGGATGTGAGAGCCCAAACCGCACAGGCATGGATGGATGTGAGAGCCCAGACCGCACAGGGAGGGATGGATGCGAGAGCCCAAACCGCGCAGGGATGGATGGATGCGAGAGCCCAAACTGCACAGGGAGGGATGGATGCGAAGCACACAGAACAACTGGGAGGGGGCTGCTGCAAGCACTGGTCCCTTCTCACGCTGAAAGCCCAAAGCACACGAGCAGAGACCTGTGCAGAGGGTGGAAAAAGCCTTTTTGCTCCTCGTTTTCTGTGCACTGCGTGGTTTGAGGGCCAGCACCTTTGGAGCTCAGCACACACATGCCTACTCTTTCATCCTGGAGCTGAAGTCTGCTCTCATGAATACCAGTATGTCTTTGAAGCACTTGCATCAACTTACATTTCTGCAATTTATTTTCAAGCTACTCAGTAAAATGTGGGTTTTTTTCTCTGACATGATGCCTTTTATTTGTTTGTTTGTTTTGTCGGGAATTGCTTTTATCTCTAGCCTTCCGAGGGCTGAAAGACCCTCAGGATGTCAGCTGCGTGAGGCTCTTGCTGGTCTGTCCAATTATTTGCTGTGAAGCACAATGCACCAGGGTTTCAAAGTATACTCTTACCTCTGTTTTCTTAAGACAAGCACGAAAAAAGCCTGTTCTACAGTTACAAGAACTCCAGAATATTTTTCTCTTATTCAATTGGTTTCTGACCTGATTGTCCTTAGATGAAAAAATAAATTAGCCAGCATTGTGGGATAAGGGCAGTTTTGCACAAAAGGGGCAGTGAGTCTCCCACTGACTGAAGCTGACCTGGACTTTGGTGTCAATAGAGATGTGCCCTGAGACCACAACATGCTCAGTACTCACTGTTTTGTGCTGTGTTCCTTCCACTTCCTTAACAATCAATGAGAACCGAGGATTTTGAGGCTATGGTGTGCAAAATTCTATTCCTTGCTTATCTAAGTGTGCTGGGAAAAACCTTCTTGGTTTGATTGTTGCTGTTAACACAACTGCCAAAAAACTGAAGACAAACAAGATTAGGAGGCCAGGCAGGTTTAAGTAAAAAAGGAACACACTTTATTTATCTACAAGGCAGTACATTGTTGTATAAAAAATTAAGTGCAGATAAAGCTGCACCAAATGCTATTAAGGCAGCAAAGTCAGAGGCTGTTATAAAAACACAAAAAAATAAAAAAATAAAATAAAATCAGTGTTTTGCCATATCAATAAAGATTTGATATGGCAGTACAAAGAACCATGTATTTCTAAGAACCTGATTCAGTACATAAGACCCAAGTTAGGGAACAACTAGCTAGACATGGAACAAAAGAGACAACATGAACAAGACAGTGTTCTCCCAAACATATGAAGGTGCAATGCATGCTGTTACAAACCAATGAGAAACAAAACAACACATCCACACAAATAAAAATCTCCCAAGAACAGTGTTCAAAAATATTGCTTATAAAAAAAAGGGGAAAAATATAAATGATGTAAAAAAAAAATTAAAACAAAAAGGTCTGAAATGCTAGTGCATAGTCAATTAGCTAACATCAACATTTGTTTTTTTCCATATAAAGCTCTACTGCTCCTTTTACACTAGCAGCATGTCTACACGCTAAGGTCTGTAGCAGCAAAACACAGTATTCATTTGGCATTTACAAAATTAAATTACTGAATAAAAATATAATTTTTCTCATAAATCTATGTTTCATACAGTAATATTTTTTAAAGCAAGCTAATTACCCACCCCCCGTCCCCCCCAACAGAAACACACAATGTATAATGGCCTAGAACCAAAACAGAAAGGAGTATTTCAAGAGGCATGGATGTTTGAGCATTCATGATCTTGATCAGCTTTCCCCTTTTGCACAGACAAGCGTTTGTAGTAATGCTTTTCACTTCGGTATTTTACACCAATTCATTTCGTTCAGTGATTTAAAATATATCTGAGTACCTGCTCTTTTATTATTACAAAACAAAATAAAAAATAAAAAAAGAAACAAACTAAACCCCACCCCTGACTAGCACATCACTGAAATAACAATACTGGTGTATTAAGTCTGTTTGATCTCAAAAAGTACAAGAAAAATTATCTTTATTATAAGACTGCACTTAAGATCATTAATTACTGATTCAAACTCAATACCTAATAATTTAGGCAAGTATCATTAAAAAAACACAAACTCTTAAGTTGGGTGAAATCCAACAAGAATATATATGCTGAGTGACTAAATGCACTTTGTGCTGCTCCCAACTGTTGTACCACAACAAAGATAGGCTCTTCTCCCATTCATGAAAAGTTCTCATGCAGAGGAACAGGAATTTCCCAGTGGAGGTGAAGTGTTCTCAAACCATAATGCTTCTCTGTGCGTCGACCCTTTCACATCACCAGAGTCCGGGTGGGGAAGGTGGCCATGTATTTGCGTGCCTGATCTGGCAGAGCCATCTGATCCTCGATCTTCCCGCAGGACGCCGACTCCCAGGTGTTGTTCAGATGCTAAATCAGAAGAAAGAGAGATTTACTTTGAATGCTGTGTGGTTTATCCATAGTCCCAGCCAAAGCTGGGCCCGCTCACTATTAACTGTTCCATGAACAGGCAGTGGAATGTTGTCCTGTCCCCTGAGAAATGAAATCTCAACACAACAGGCAAAAAATGTCACCCTGACTTCTCAGTTAGCGATCATAGGGGCAGACAGACCAGATGATCTGCAGAGGGGACACCACAGGAGATCCAAACTTTCCTGTTTCTCTCTCAGAGTGTCTTTTCTATAAGGCCATAGCTACAGCCTTGCATTTAATCCTTTAGGAAGGTCTAAACAGGCATACACTTGGCAGGCCAACTTTACAGTGAACAGAGCACAGACAGGCTACAGCACAGTTAAAATATCCAATGTTATGGCCATGCACAAATTCCTGCTGAACCTACATTCTAAAAATGCTCTGTCCTGGAGCTCCCTAAAGAACCTGACAACCTTGACAGCCTGCCCAGCGGTGCCAAGGATTCCCCGCTCAAAGCTGCTTTCACCTGTGGGCAGCGATCAGCACCCGCCCCATAGCTCAGCTCCCCTGGCAAAGGAGGAGGGAGGGAGGCCCAACTCTCAGCAGAAACAGCTTTTTAATTATCATGTAAGCCATTTCACTTCTTGTGGTATTTATGGAGGTTGCAGACACCATTTAGTATAATGCTAAAATGAGATAAACCTATCTGCAGAGGGCTGTGTGTGCTGTGTTTATTTACTCACTACACAAGTGAGACATTTCTCATTGCCTTGAGCTATAAACAGCAATGAAATTTCAAAGCTCCTGGAATTTACCAGGATACACACTTTTACTTTTTTCTATTGAACTCTCTCACTTAGCCAGTGTGTCTGCCTTTCCACGCTGAAACTTTCTCTAAGACCTGAATAAAACATCTATTATCACACAGTTAGCTGTATAAATAGTCTGCATTCCAAAAATGCACACAATTGTGCTTATCTTTCCACAAGGGATCCCAGCACTGCTAAATACTGAGAAGGGGTATGTTCAGGATCCACCAGTAAAGACAAGTCAGGAGAAACCTTTCTCAGTTCTCCATGCCATTTGAAAAGGATCTGCAGCACAATAACAACATTGCTCAAAGAGATGTCCAAAGCCTTCCCAACCACTAGGACAGTGGATGAATCATAATTAGTGGACTGCAAACCATCTGCTAAGAGCAGAACTGCCCTGACGTGCCCACAGCTCTTTCTGCCAACTTCTAGTTGCTAATTTTTTGCAAGAGGATCCTTAAAGTATTCTCTGGCCTAAAAGTTTACAGAATGCTCTTCTGACTGTAAACAGTGTTATCTGAGACATATGGATAGTAAAAGGCTGGGCAACTATGAAACACAGATAATTTCAAGCAACATGCCCTAATCAGGTCACTAGTACAAACGCAGGGACCGAGGTTCCTGCCTTGGAGGGCTTACAGTCTAAAAGGGGCAAACCCAGTGACTAACTAAGCAAGCGTGTTAGTCCTCTGCAGACTTCTGCTGGGCTTCCCTAGACATGGCTTTCTCTTCTCTGCAGGGAAGCTCCGAATGCTGCCTCTTCTCCTGGATGCCATTTTGCAAGCAAAACTGCTGAACTTCAGTAGAAGTTCCCTTTCTGAAGGAGAACCAGGTCAGGCCTCAAATCATTAAGTTTCTGCAGTTTTTGTGGGAAAGCTGCATCTGTGAAGGGAACAGACGCCACACACCTCTTTTCTAGAGCTGTGCACCTTGTGCTGTGGCTCAGGCGAGGGCACATGCCAGAAAGCAGGTGTGACACACTTTCTGTGTGCCACAGACCCGCATGCAACACACCACAGCTCCTTTTATGTTTTGGTTAAACAACTTCCAGCGTCACTTTGTCAAAGGCACCTACACTAGCTGGGAACCTACAACTCCCTATTGATCCTCAGTGGGACTCAGGCACCTGTACATATTTTCTCCTTCTGTTTTAGAGGTATTTGCAAGAGGAACCAAATTAATAACTGGTATAAAGCCACTGGTTTTACTTAGAAGTTGGATTTGTTCTGTACACCTCAAAAGCAGCTGATAGCTCCCATATATCCATAATTTCCAAGGACAGAAATATGTGTCTAAGCAGTATTTCCCTGTGATCCCCCAAAGCTTCAATGCACCAGTCTAGAAATAAGAGATCAGCAGTCCCTTAAATAACTGAAAATATGTAAGGAGAAGTCCATTTGTCATAGTATGACAATTTCTGAAAGCTATAAGTAACTTCAGGTAAGGAGCGTCCCTATTTCATAAATTAGGCTTAATTGTTAGTATCTACACTGAGCTCTTTGTATTAACAGCCATGTGCTTAGTAGGAAAAAAAAAATCTGTATCCTGATATCACCAACATCTCAGCAGGCTGCTACATGTCACTCATTCCACGGAAAGCCTGGTCTTCATCTTTACCCTGATGTCAGTGTGGCAGAAGCTGCTCAGGCAGGCAGTAACCCTCTGCCCTCCCACTGGGCTTGGCTGCCCCGGGGAGCACTGGGCAGCAGACACACGAGGACCAGCTCCACCCCCCACTTGAGCCTGCTTGAAACAATTTCAGCTTTGCTGTAGGGACACAAAAGTTTTCATCCATGTATTATTTTTCCCAGTAAATTACACTATTTACACCTTTCCCCCCCCCTCCCTATTGTGACAAACTTATAACAAGAGGCTAACTTTGCATCTCGTTGATGATGGTGAGAGCTCTGCTCCAGTGAAGAAAGAAGCATTGGGCCCAAAGGAGTATGTTTTCTGATGCAGCATATTTACTAACACAGTTTTCCATTCTACCCTTGGGGAGCTCAGATAACATTTCAGTGGGTATTTTTAATAAACATTTTCCCTCTGAAGCCCTGGCTCTCGGCAGCCAGCACAAAACAAAGCACAATGCCTGTGCCTTGCCAGCCCTGCAGTGCAGTGCCAGAGGCACGTGTGAAAGTCATCCTGATGGGAGCAGCTTTCCTTCCCTCCTTGGCAGGGAGTGCTGGGTCCTACACCCCTGGCAGAGTGCCTTGCTGGGCCTGGTCACACACAGCTATGGGATCTCTTGGTAAAAAGGGTAAAAAGGGATCCCACAATGCCTCCTTCCACACCAGCACTGCAGCAAGTACTGACAGGCTCTGTTACAGGACAGTGTCCCACTGACAGCAGTGCCCAACAGATGTATCAGAAGGAAAGAGACCCAAGGCAGAAGGCTACAGGCATGCAGGAAAACAGCACAGAAACCCTAGCCAGAACACTCCTGTTGCAGAATGCTCATTGCAGCCTCCTGACCACATTTACAGGTCTAACTCTGCAAATCAGTGGATGGAAACAAGACCTTTGTAACCAGAAGCCAGAAGGCCTGACCCATACCTCACCAAAATTGATGGACATGTTTTCATTAATCCAGTGGGTTCATCCAGCCTAAATGCAGTCATCTAAGAGTGAGGTGTTCGTTTTGGCACCTAAATTCCTAGCCAGTGGGGAGTGAAAGTGATTTCCAGAGTAAATTCTTTTCACACACACAATTTTTTCATTGCCTCACAGGGTAGGAGGCCAATCTTAATTTTGCTGTCAATTAAAAGAGTTTAAACCTTTTCATCCAGCACTTCCACTGTATTTTTCTCTTCCAAACACAGCAGTTTCTCTCTTTAAGTTAAATCACAGAGTGGAGGGGGAGAAGAAGGTATAGTACTGTGAGTTCCCATAGGATTAAATTACAGATCCATGGTACAATTCCAGCTATGTAATTCTCCCTGTCCCTTTTCTTTTTCTCTCTCTTTTTTTTTTAACCTCAATAATTCTACCAGTACATCTTTCTCCTGGCAGCAAAACTACCTTATTTATCCTGTAATATGCCTTCAGCTGCCCTCAGGCAAATGTGAACTGTAAACAAACTGTCAAAGCTGTAACTGGGATATCCAGTTAAAGCACTTTAAATAAAAACTTGGACCATCTAGAGAAAACAGACCAGAGTAAGGGAAGAAAACAATATGGAAAGGTGCTTTTCTAACAGAACTAGTCCTTCTGCTCTTGTAGCCCAGACTGCCTTTTCATGTTCTGTCTCTATAGCTTAAGAAAGCTCCTGTGTTACAACACCTTTTGTGTTAGAAGCCAGTGCCAAAACCAAACACTGCTGCAGTCCTGCAGTGCTGAGCTCCCAAACTGATGAAAGTCTAGCAGAAATCCTTGGGCAAAGAACTGTGTTAGAAGACAGATTTTACATCTCTGTTCTGCTGGCAGGTAGCTTCAGCAACTCCAGCAAAGCTAGTGGTGTTACAAACACCACCACTAATTTAGCCAAGCTTTGCTGGTATTTACGAATAATTTTTTTAAAAAGCTACTGTATTTAAAATATTTTAAATGCTCAGACTACTAGAAGGTCTCTTATCGTGCTTCCCTGCCAGCTTTCCCTTAGATTACATGGTATAGATTGTCTGCAGAATGTGCCACTGAAAGAAGGCTTGCAACAGAAATGCAGCACTCCTGAAAGAGTAAAACAATGCACTGAACAAAACAATCTCCGAGCAGAATACAATAGACAGCATATGAATAACATGGCTTTCTATTCTGTAAGGATGCAGAACTGGCAGGACAGTGAAGACTAATTAAAAACTAAAGTGATCATAAATTACTTTTTTATCTCATTTGACAAGACAGACCACTATTTCTACCCCTGCTGCTGGCTCTCCTCTGACTTCTCCTGAATTCTGGGGCTTTCCGAGCTGCTCAGAAATACAGCTTGCTCAATGTGAAAGAATAAGATGGTCCAACTTTTCAGCTTTTTTCACAAGCATGATACCAGACCTAGGAAGAGCTATTTGATAGCATTTTTAAGAGCTTAACCCTGAAGTTCTTGCTCAGGTAAAACTCCTGCTCACAATCTATGAGCTTCCCAAGTAAGATGAATGGAAGAGATATGGAAGTGGGCTAAACATCTGCAACTCATACTAGGATATTCTTCCCCTCTCCAGTAATTTTTAAAAAATTTTCCCCCCCACAGATCAGAATACATTGCTGCAAATGTGACTAATAGTTAAGCTGTCACTTTTTTTTCCTGAGAGACCATCACCAGCTCAGGGCAGCTGTAACTTCCAATCTGTTTGCAAGCCAAATTCTGCTGACCTGGGAGGAAAAAAGCAATGACTGGCCTGTAACTTTGAACCTTCTCTGGCTCCCTCAGCTGTGGCAAGCATGTGTCCTTCCTGTGCACATCACTCACTGGGGAGAGAAGGGGCAGCACAAGTGAGAGAAACCTGTGGGGCTACCTTCCCCTGCTGTGCAGATCTCAAACATAGCATGCTTCCCCCTCTCCCTTGATTAAACAAAGGAAAATATGAGATTTCAGGACCTTCTTCCTCCAAAAAGCCATGGAGGAGAAACAGAGAAAGCCTGCTGTTGCAGAAGACCATGCTGCCTTCCTGGCCATTTTGTCTTACAACCACCTGCAAATAAAGCAACATTTCACTTTTTTAAACTGCGAAAATTAGGCTTCATGACAGCTCCAACACTTGAAAAAAGGTTAACCAAGTAACTGTTTTAAAATCCTTTAAACTTGCTCTTTGAAGAAAATGGCTACATAAACCGCTGAAAGTCAGGAAATTCGAGCAGAAATGTGTCAGTCTGTGGTTAAAAAAATGGAAAGTGACAGGAGCTAGGTGTTGAAGAACATTCTCTTTAGCTTGCAGGGCTTCTACCTTGTGTTGTTTCCTTTGTTACTGGGGGAAGAAGATATCAAAGCAGTGCTATTTTCTTAAAAGGCTCCATTTCATGGTGTCTTTTGATAGCCTGCAGGGTTAGGTGGAAGGTCTGTGATTTAGCCTACTTTTCTATCTGTTAAAATGTCTATGTTAGGATAGTTTGAATTATGTACTGCTACTGCTACAGAACATAATGTGAAATAAAATTTAACTTTTACATAGGAAGGGCCAGAAACGGGGTTTTATGTAACCTCTTACAAGGCAAAATTCAAGCACATGCTCAGTACAGATCATCTTTTTGTCTTGGTATTGGAGTACATTATCCCAAAATCTTAACCCTTGGAAAAGTTGCTAGTGAGACCAAAATCTCCCTGACATGCAGCTAAGTGACAAAAACATAGGGTGCAAAAATACAGGTTTTAACTAACCCCATGAATACAAAGCAGAAATATTTGGGATCCATGCAATGGATCTCTCGTAAGTCCACCCCAAAGCAACATGTGGGTTTGGTGAGACATTCCTGGTCCTGCCAGTCTCATAATGCACAACCATGAGATTTGTCACATAGGACAGAAAAGCTGGCTGAACCTCCACATTTTACCAGAAAGATCTTACACAAAACTGCCTTCACATCCAATGTCTTGGGGAGACTTAACAGGGGACTGAATAAGGATAAAGCCCAAACTCTTCTTGGCTCTACAGAGGCTTCTTCTCCCTTTGCTCTATACAACACTGACAGCACCAAACTCCAGTGGTTTTACATGGAGCTACCTGACCTCACATGCCAAATGATGCAACACGCTGTTCCTGCAAAGTGATGGTGAATCACATCGTGCTATCTGGTATGGTCATCAGCTGCTATTTACTAAATGGCATATGATCAGTCGTGTACCCAAAACGCAGTAAAAAATATCATTAGAGATGTGTTTGGACATTTGCTACTCTTGCCTTCTTTGGAATTTAACAGCAGAACAATAAGTAATCAAGGGTTTTGATCAGTTTATCCCTAGCCTAATATCTTTGTGTAAATGTAGTGCAAATTATTAAAGCAATGGAAAACTGTGGGCTGGTAAATATACTGCCTCCCTGTCTTCTAAGTTAAAATTTAAAAGAAAATGGAATTTTAGGAACCAAGCATATTAAAAAAAAACCCTACATTTAGTGCTGTCTTTGTTTCTCTCTTCCCTTTCCATGCACAGATCCCAAGGCACAGAGATTGTTGTAATTCTTTCTTGGACTGAAGTCAATGAGAATTTGCCTAAGAACAGTTGGATCAGGCCCAAAATATTAACTGCAGCAATGTCAACATATGCAGACACAATTAAATTTCACCCACATGAGTTCCCTCATGCTTAATGTCTAATTTCATGGGATCAGTGGATTTAGTCCAGTTGTTTGTTTGTGTCCATGCATGTGTTCATGTAGGAGGGTGAGATACCAAACTCTAAACCAGGAAGAGTAGAAAGAATAGGACAACAATGTGCTAAAATCTGGTCATGTACAAAAAGCAGACAGCAAAAACAACAACAAGCACGAAGGCCAACGTTTTCCATGGCTTTGCACCCTTTAGACATGCTATGCCCAAGTCACACGAGGCCATTTCCACTGGGCTGGAGGAGGGGAAGCACCAGGGACAGAGCAGCAGCAGTTTCTGGTGTGAAACAGAGCCAGAGTACACATCCTTTCTGAGCTGCACAGGGCCACATTGCTCCCCTCTGACATGAGGCCAGGCAGCTTTACCATTCCTTTTAACCACAACACCCAGTCCAAACCAGAGAGTGCGGCCATTGGCAGACAATACTGCATTGTTATAAAAAGTCTGTATTTCATTCTGAAAAAGCTGTCTGTGCCACCATCACAGAAACCCCAAGCCTCATTCTTCATTTAAGATTACATTGCAGCTGAAAAGCTCAATGTTCCACCAGCAGAGAGAACAATTTTACCTTCATACCAGTACACCAAGAAGCTGCCTACTAACTATTCATTTTGGGGCTTTTTACAACTACTTTTTCTTTCAGTTCAACACCCTTTAAACACTGAGAGGAGTTGGGAAGTCCTTTTTAACTCAGTTCCTACTTAAGAAAAGGTCCTCTTTATCCAAACAATGAGCATACCTGACTTTTAACATGGTTTTCCTGAGCAAGGACTGAAGAATTGAATCCAGAATGATCCACAAATTGACTCATGTAAACTTCCTGAACAAAACCAGCATGACTGAGGACAGAAGGTTAAACAAGCCCTTTCGTTTATAGCAGCTTGTAAAGAAAATATTTTTAGATAGCAGGAAACATAACACCGGTACACCAAAGATCAAAAGATCCTATTTTACAGACCTCTCAGATCCTTCTTTTTTATTACAGCCAGAGTGCAGGCAACTACCACTAACAGGACAACACACAGCCCATGCTGCTTAGCTACCTGAAAATCTTGTCCTAAATCTATGAAGGAGCCCAGAGTTTGGCTCCTGGGACATAGCAGGGCTGAGCTCTTGGGGACCAGCAGCCTTTTCCTACACACCCACCAGGGAGCTCCAGCAACCCCAGCCAAGCTGGAGACCCTTTGCCTTGTGGCTCCTTTGCCACAAGGTAGGTCTGAATTCAGCCCCTATATACTGCCCTAGGTCAGGGGCAGTGGATCTGCAGACTCTTCTCCTGGCTGTCTACCACAGTGCAGCCAAGAAACTTCACGAGAGAAGAGCAGATAAACAATATTGAGTATGAGTCTTTGGCCCCTACAGACGCCCCCATGCCAAGGGGAGTCCTAGTCCCTGCTCTCCAAAGCTGCTTTTCATCAAATGATCCTGCAGCACAAAATACAAGCCTACTCCATGGCAAATTGTGCCAAATGGGGATGTGCGTAAAATTTTACTATCTTCTTTTTTAATGCCTGGCTAGAAATGCCTAATCAAAACCAGACTTTATTAATTTCTTCCTACTGTAAATAAGCCCTAATGTAAATTCTGGAAAGAGGGAGCAAAGAAGGGATTAACCATGTGGACTATCTGCCTGAAAGTCAGGAACTACGGAGTTACAATTTCCTTCCTGACAGTGACTCACCCTGGGGAATGAGACACTTTCCTTTATTTCTCCCATGTGGAGAAGGGCTACAAAATTACTTAGTCATCTACCTTGGAAATACATAAATTATGTTTTGTTTTCTGAATGACTTGCTGTGGGTTTCACCTAAAGAACACACGAGCTCCCAAGCTGGCTGCTAATGACTCTGGTGGGCTTTGGATCAGCCCCTGTGCAACAGCTCTGCTTTAAAGTACAGCAAATGTCTGTATCTGTTAACACTTGGCAAAAGCACAGACACACAAACCCCGGCCTCACATCTGACTTACATTACAACAATTACACATTTGGCCTTCACTGGGGAAAGGCCATCCTGGTGCTGGGCTGAATGGGCAACAGTGGCCACACCTGTGCCAGCCAGGCAGTGCTAGGGTCTCTCCTCTCACCCCAGGGCCAGTCACAAGTTCTGGCCACCACACCACTCAAGTCTCCAAAACAGCAGTGCCACCTACAAGAAGCCTATGGAAAAAAACCCCTCTAATCCACGTTAATTCTCAGTCCTACCAATTCCACACTGCACCCAGCTGAGTTACAACACTCCACACACAGGGCTGTGCCCTCATGCTCCACAGGCAAAGTGAGATCCTCAGCCACATTCATCTGAACACTTCATTCTTCCATACTCAAAACTTAACATCAGTCTGTGAGAAAGCAATATATACATATATACATATATATATATGGATGCATTTTTATATACAGAAGACAATTTTATCAAAGAATAATTACCTGTAGAGGACTAGCTAGTGGCCTGTTTCTAGGTACTGCAACTGTTTTCTGAAAACTATCATCATCTTCAGACACAGGCATCTTTAAAATAGAACTGGTAAGAAGATTCTGAACAGAAAAAGAAAAAAGAAAAAGGTTTTCAGCAACTCCTGAGAACAACCTGAATTGGAATGTATTGTAAGTAAACTCAGGCTGAGTGCAGAAGTTGCTACACTGGGCACAGCCACAGATGAGGAGCAGACCTCAGCCTGGTGTCCCTGGGACTTGGCTTTGCAGGAGCACTGCCCTGTGCAAAGGTCTTCCATCCAGTGAAAATCCCAAGTTCAAGAGTAAAAGTAACACTGAACAGTCCAAAAGCCCTGGCAATGCAAAGGGAACTGTGCTCATGCAAAGTCTCCTTTGCAAAAACCAAGAGAGTCTCTCTCTCTTTCACCAGTTTTTAACTCCTTGATCTAGTAATTTCTGCACACAGGTGCAGGCATCCTACAAGTGCATGCTCTTCAAAGTCTGTGGACTGCAAAATGACTGCAACTTCTGAAACCTTCTATAGGCATCAGAATGATAACTAAGAGTAGCATTTTACTTTTTATACTTAGTACAGGAAAATGACACAGAAATAAGGAATAAAGCCTACTTGTGAAGAAAATCAGAAAAAATACTCTCTTTCTCTTGCATTTAAGAATTGAACAGGGATGTAAAACAAAGAATTCCTTTGATGGTGGGAAAACTTATACTTACTGGCACATCTTCCATAGTAGACCCAGGTGTAAAGAGCTGAGTGTTCAGGTTTTCTCCTTCCCAATGATTTGAGCAAAAAAAATTTCCAGCTTTATCTGTTGGGGACTCCACCTGAAAGCAGAAAAGGCTTGATTCGACCACCACATAACAGACCGAGAGATTTCTGTCAGTTGCTTAACAAATTGAACAAATATTCTTCACAGAGGTGCATAATGCATGTTTACAGTAACATCTTTTACAGCAGCCTTGCTCTTTGCAGAAGAAAAAAGTTCAAGGTTCTCCAAAAAATCCCCATCTAATAAAACTTTGAATACTTGCACTCAGTGCTCTGTCAGTATTCAGGAGTTTAATCCCCTAGAAAGGATTGAGAATAAATGTATTTTTAGAACTTTAGTGACAAAGTAATATAATGCAATGTCCTCAAATGTTCAGGTTTCTAAGTCACTCCATGGAGCTTGGTCCCCATGGGGTTCTTCTATACTTTTCACCAATATTTGAAAGATTCAATCCAAATTCATGTCTAATTTTTCTTTTCTTTTTAAGTTTCAAACGAAAACTGCATTAGAACTGTCCAAGCAAACCCCTGCTGAAAACAGCAGAAAGACTTCTATGGAAATCAATGGGAGATGAATTAGACATGCCTAGTGTACTATATGGAACCGACACTAAGATCTTGGGGCTCACATGAAAGGAAAACAGACACAGCTATTTAACAGAAAAGGCATTGCTATAAGTTTCTCAGCAAAGAGTTCTGAATTAAATTGCCTCAGGTAAGTTTGAGATTTACCTCTTGTTTGATTTTCTTCAGCAAAGGGGGTCCACTTTCATGTAGCCCAGCCACTATTGCAGATTCCTCCGACTCCTGCTTGATAACATCCTGCAGATCTTCTACAAGATGAGTTGGAGTTTGAGGCTGAAAGAAAGAAACGTTATATCCAAGTCCAGAACATCCCTCTGCACTAATATCAAAGCAACTTTCATCATTGTTTCCTTCTTACCAGCATCTTCAAAGGACCGTATTTGATTTCCTGAGCTGCAAGTGCGTTTTTGAATGGAGTGGGTGTTCTTGGAGAGCTTTCTAATATCGACCTCTTGATTGCTGGAGTCCTGAAACTTTAAAAAGAAGGAGACGAACTTTAAAGGAAGATGCTTGGAAATACTAGCTCTTTATAGAAATGCGTGCACACAGATGGCATTGTTGTAAGACTTTGGGAAATATTTCCCTGTCATCCTATAATCCGTTTTGCTTTTACAGCAGAACATCTATTTGACTGTGATAAGAAGTAATGACTTTATTTCAAAAACTGGTGAACCTATATGCATGGTTTTATAACCTACCTCAATAGTCATAAATTGGAAGTTTTACTCCCAACTAAGCAAAATCTGAATGTGTGAGCAAACAAGTCTGCAGGAAGCAGAGAAACACAGAATGGTTTAGGCTGCAACAGTCCTTAAAGATCATCTAGTTCCAAACACACTACCACAGGCAGGTACACCTTCCATGAGATCAAGTTGCCCAGGGCTTCATCCATGGACAGGCCATTCACTACTTCTCTGGCCAGCCTGCTCTAGTGCCTCACCACCCTCTCAGTGAAGAGTTCTTTCCCTGTATCTAACCTAAACCCACCCTCTTACAGCCTAAAGCATATGCTGACCCAGCACTTTAGTTGCATGCAAATGTGAAGACATGGACCCTGGTGAGTTCGACAAGAGACTTACACATGGTTTTCCTTCTGAGCCTTGAAAGCCTGGTCCCTGTGGAACGGGGAGGTAAGTGCCATCTTATGGCCACACACCGGTGTGGAGGTAAGTGCAGGGTTGTCCAGGTTCAGGTTTTCGTGATTGGATGAGGTGTTTAAGAACTGCACGTGTGGAAAGAAAAAAATTAACAGGAACATCGAGATTACATGGCTGACCTCTTAAGCTGACGTTATTCAACAAAAGAAAAATAAATTATTTTCTTCTGACTGACACGAGTCACTCTCCTGGCCCTATGATGCGAGTAGGGCTATGTGGGGTACCTGACTACATTGTGAAAAAATACTCAATGGTTTGGCTCAGGAAGCCAGAGAGGGAAATTCTAAAGGAAATGACACTCTGTTCCAATGAGAAAAACTTTCCACCACTTTCAGAGCCTGATTTGGATTTTCTCCAAATAAATTTTAATTAAGACCAGTGTGCCCAAGAAACTGGGTGAAAATGAGCAAGAGATGTTTCAGAAACAAACCCACAGGAAACAGGGTTAAATTCCACAAATGTTTATGTGGGGCATCTAGGGGCTTTTAGGGCAGTGCAAGTGTTGATGACAGGAAAATAAATTTCCTATCATCTCTCTCAAAAGAAAGTACTTCACTTTCAGAGTATAAAATGAAAGCTGCCACCTGTGACGGGTACGTGGAATACTTTGGAATGGAAACAGCTGACTGAAACAGAGGCAGCACTATTTGTTTGGAGAAAATTGCTCGTGCATGTGTTCTACCTAGTAACCTAAAATATTGTTTCTATTTCTAGTCTACAAATCCATGAGCATAGTGGTATCCTTTATTCTGACAACAATTCAATGTACTCCCTTCTAGATTCTGTCACTTTATAAAAATGTGACATGTAAGAAAATCTGGCTTTCACTGGAAAAATGACATATTATTAAAATAGCTAAGAGGTAATGGGAAATACACTGGGAAATCATTACATGAAATCTTTTACTATCCTTCATGAAATAGTCTTCTTTGACATCAAAGACTAAAGCAAACCAACACAGACAAACAAAAAATCCAAAACACTTTTAAATAGTGCTACAGCTGTGAAACAAAGCAACCATCATTAGGAATTTGAAAGTGCACACCAGGCCATTTTAACAGGCCATTTTCCTCCTCATTCCTATTCCACTCCAACTCTCATGGCCTGGGCAGAGGATGGCAAGTGTGATTTGAATTTTCGGGTTGTTGTCAGTTTGTCTCACAACCTGAATGCTATTTAAATGCAGTTTGGGGTTTTCTAGGTCAATGAATCATACTGTAAGTGGACAGAGATGGAAAGTATCACAGATGATCAGAAATGTTAAACTCTAGTAGCTGGAGTTAGCAGCAAGAGTAAAGCAAGGGGTTCACACTCCCCTACAAAAAAGATCCAAAAAGGCAAAAAACCAAAACACAAAAAACCACGCCCCACAGATGAATTTAAGAGTCAAGAATCAACAGTTAGCTTGCTGATTAACTAAACTCAGCAGTGAGGACTAGGAGCAGCGAGAAGATTCAAACACAGAGCGAAATCAACAAGCACAACGGCAATTAGTCATTTGTTCCAAAGGATTAGTTTCTAAATTGTTAAGACTGGGGTGACTTTTGAGAATTAGTAACATCTGTGCAGAAGTCTCGATCTACCTGCGAGGGAGAGAAGGGCAGGCTTTTGACAGGGGAGCGCTTAGGAGGAGTTGAGCTGCTGACGTCAGCTAGGACCAAGGTGCTACCGTGGCCACTGGCTACGGGGCCGCAGTGCCCTCTCCTTTTGCGAGGAAGGACCCGCGGAGCCGCACTGCCCTGTGAGGCAGATAAGGTCTTTGGTGAGCCAAGAGAGCCCTGACTCGACATGACTTTGCTCAAATTTGTGGTGGGCTGTCCTTGCGGTCTACAAGCACTGGCCCCTCTTTGCTGAAGCTGCGCGACTTTGCCTGGGGGAGCTCTGCTAGCCGGAGTGTCTGTGTCTTCAAAGAATTCAAAACTGCTGAGATCACCCCATGATGAAGGATCCTGAAACAACGTGGGAGGCACGGAGCTATAAGACAGTGTATAGTGCCACCTCATGAAAATACAGCGCTAGGATATGTTTGTAACCAACAACAACAACATTACGTCTTTCCCAGCTCAATTCAGCCTGACCCTGTTCATGGGAGCAGCAACACAGTGAACACAATTTGTGTTTTCACATACCTTGATCTTATCAAACTGTCTGACATCCTAGTAGTGTTGCTGGCAACCGAGTCCCTAAGGAATGAGTCAAATTATGCCTTACTATTTGCTTGCCCAGTGTTTTCTGCTTGGTATGATGATGGCGCCTTTTGTTACAAAAAAAAAGTGTGCTGTAGACCAAGACTGGCCTCCTCCTAACATGCAATGCTGCTCTGGATGTGCTGAAAGGGAAATGACACCGAACGAAGCAGACACCTCCGAAGGAGGTTGCCACCAACAAACGTAATTCAATGTGCTACTTTACATGCAGCATCCCAGAGACTGCAATGACAACAGGTCCATGTCAATGTCAGTCAGATACTTGACATTTAAATGTGTGTTTGCAGTCCTTCACATATGCCAGGACAAGTCCCTTAAACTTTGAAAAGCAGCTATTGAGGCTACAACTAAAAATTGTAGAAAATTATGCAGACACACATCCAAACCTATGGCACGTGTCACTTCAAATATCAGTAAATATCATCACATTGTTTAAAATTTTTCATGGTATCTCTGATTGTATTTTAAGGAGACTTAAAATTGAGAGATTATTTCAAGCTCCTACTGTGCACCTTGCTGAAACTCACACTCCCATTCCAAGATGTAGCAGGAAAGGGAGACACCCCAAAAAAAGCATATGCATCCATGTTTGAGGGCTTCATTTACAAGCAGCTGCATTTTGTCATGTCAGAAGATAAGCTTCAGATCCTGGAGCAACTCAAAGTTACTTGGGAAAAAATCAACAACCACATTTAGGACAATCCCAGCTCCTCACCCCTTACTCCTTGACCATGCACAAATCCACCTGAGGCAGCGAGTTTACTTACGGAGTCTATTAACTGGAGTGTTTCAGCAAATTCTAAGAGATTCTTAACATTATCCAGGATGTTGCTCTGGTGAACAATCATGCACCGTGCAGGGGATGCACTTTCCTCAGGTAAGCAACCGTGATCCACCGGCGGAGATGGAGTACAGTGGTGATGCTCCCCCAAACAGGAAACAGGTGCACTGTCACCACTGGTCCTGGTACTGTCAGCAATTGTGGTGCTGTGCCAGCCGGGGTAGTTTGATGTGTGGTTCTGTGTCTAAAGGAAGAAGAAGGCAAAAAAAAGAAGAAAAGGGAGGGGGGAAAGGCAGAAGGAACTTAGCAATGAAATTGCACAAGGTGTCAGATGCCACTGGAGGAAAGATAAAAGTAGTTGCATCATCATCTAAAAGCTTATGCCTATGAAACAATTGTCAAGATGTTTCCTTTCATCAGTGCAAGATCTTGTTTTAAGTAATACTGGCATTGTATTTGTTATCCCAAAGTTACCTCATAATTTACTTCCACTATTTTAGGCGTATGTCATTACTAGCACATAATCAATTCATACTTTGTTACTCCAAGTGCTCAAAAAGTGTCTGCAAGTCCTTTTCTGTAAGAAGCAAGAAACGGCAGGATTTCCCTACAGAGCGCTCAGCACTGTAGAAGGCTAAAAGTTTTTAGAGTTAGAGTTGCTTTTGTCTGCTTGTCTCCTTTTCTTCTGCTATCCCTGTCTAATGCTACAGCTTACACCAATGCAATGAAGAGGCTGTCAAATCAACGTGGTTAGGAAAGCAGAAGAACAAATTAACAGAAGTTTCTTTCCAGTGTGATCATGCAACAGAAGAAATTGCAAAACATTAACTAAAGTTAAAAAGTGGCCAAACTAACGTATCATGCATGCAGTTCTTTTACTATTCATTTAAATATTACCAAAAAAAAAAAAAAAAAAATCTGCTGGCTATCACCTATCTTCAAAAATGATTTTGGGATTCTTGGCTTTGGTGACGGTGTTAAGTAGTTGCACAAGGGTTTTCACACATTAACAACCAATGGCATATACCACAAAGTATGAGAATTCAGTAATAGCCAGCACTTGCTCCACACATGCAGTTATGAAGAATCTAACATTATTCAGAGGAGTGAAACAAATTCTCAAACATGCACCAAGTCTGAAGCTTACGAAGTGTATAAAACACAGCTGAATGAAAGAATATAACAGAGAAGAAAAATCTAATGCACAGGCACTACATTTTCATCACATGAACCATTGCACACTTTCAGAAACACAGATCCCATTACTGATTAAAGGCCTGTAGGATTTTCAATTTTTGTACAATCATTATGTTTCCAATATTACATCATGTTACGGAGCCCAGTCCTGCTCCCACTTCGCAAGGTGATGGCGCCTTTTGTTACTTGACCAATTTTTTGGTTTTTTTTGGTTTTTTTTGTTTTTTTTTTTTTTTTTGTTTTTTGTTTTTTTTTTTAATAAAAGAATTTACAAAGCAGATATAGATTACATATGTGCTATGTTTCATCCTTTTAAAACGGAAATATAGAGCCTTGATTAGTACTGAAGGCAGAGGGGGAGTAAAAAGTTAAAAAGACAAGCACTGGGGTAAGGCTGCTATCCCTCCATCCAAGCACACAGTGACAATCTTACTGGTAATGCCTGCTGCCCTTTCAGTTCATTCTCAGTCGACATTAGTAGCAACTCTAATTCCTTTATTCGTTTTTCTTTCTCAGGGTCTTCATCATTATAGTGTCTCTGAAATTAAGAGTTAAGGGAAAAGAAAAGATAAAGGTCTGATAGGATGTAGCAACTAAAATGCTCATGGTTTGCCGACCTGTGGTTATAACAGCCAAATTATATTCCAAGATGAAACATATGTCAATTGTGTTTTCCACCATCAAAGTCTCTGCTGAATTTCAGTATAGACATTTGAAATGGAGAAAGTGAAGGCCATCACACCCGATGTCAACTACTGCATTTAAAATCCACTTCAGAAGGAGCAATTATTAGCCATGTCAGAACTCCCCAACCTTCCCCATTTTCTCTTTTCACCACACTTAATACATTGAAATGTTTCCTTAATGTACGATGTCTGCATTTTAGTTTATCAAATATTTAAGAAATTGACTCTTGAAATAAGGTTCAAGTTATCTACCTGGATAGCTGCAGCAGCTGGCTGAGGTACATTGACAATATTTACATGCAGTGCTACTGGATACGGGATCTGACCAGGAACCTAGGTCAAAAAGCAAAAATTGGTTATTTCCATCATATTATCTGCTTGAATTGTCAATTTGTGTTAAACATACTTTGGTGTTAGGTACTTAATATTTGTAGACTGTGGAGATGAAATAACAAAAAAAAAAAATGTTCACAAGAAAAGTAATCACATTTTTAGGAATATGACAGTAAGCACTAGAGAGGAAGAAAGACAATTCATTTATGAAATATTTACCCTTCCTGAATGAGAAAATATGAATAATTTATAGACACATTTGTAAGGATTTTCTAAATTGAAGTGAAAAAGCAAAAGATGCAATTTATTATCATTTAAAACTCTACAATGCAACTATCTGAAGCAGGAGCCTGTTTCATTATTAATCATTAATAGAAAAGAAATCTGATTAAAATCAATACTTGTTCACTTGGTTCTGACAGGCAACCCACAAACAGAATACTACTAAAGAGCATGTGGGAGATTTTGACATGGAACACAGAATTAACCAGATTCAACTGGTATTCAAGAAATGTAATATTCACAACTCTAAGAAATATGTTAACTGCTCCCAAGGCGTTAAACCTGCTTTACCCAGTTCCACCACCTGAATGCCAGCAGCTTGAAATGTACTCATTTTCACCACTGAACCAAGTAAAAGTCAAAGAAATCCTCATCTGACATCAACATATCCAAGTCCACCAAGATGAAGGAAATCCTTCAAGCTGAAACCAGGCATGGCTAAACTGCCCCCATCTATTCAAGGAGGCAAGGCACGCCCTGCACGCTGCCCCTTTCAGGCACTCACGTTCTGTGGCTCAGGGATGTGGTAGTAGGGGTAGTCACTGCCCAGCGGGGGCTGGCTGGCCACCGGCAGCTGCGCGGGTGGCGATGGGTTGTGAGCAAAGGCCATCAGGTGGTTGTTCTTCTGAAAGCCAGCAGCTGCTGAGGAGTGGCAGGCTTTGGAGGAGTCCTGCAGGTAGCCCTCCTGCTCAACCTTCCGGCGCATGGTGGAGTTCCAGTGGTTCTTGATAGCATTATCAGTTCTGCAATAGAAATACAGACATTCGAGGAGTTTCAAATATGAGCAGTTCCAATTCAGACAGATCAGTGGGCAGCGAACTGCTGTTGGCATTTCTGTTTAAACCCTGAGCTCTTCTCTGACCTTCCTCCTACGCCCAACACTACAGATGCTATTCCCAACTTCTCAGGAAAGATGCTCAGTATAAGGGTCAGGAAAAAAGAAAAATGGGCTACAGTTGTTCACATCCTCAAATTGTAAGAGATTACTAATTTCATCTTCACCTCATTCCCATGAAGTGAGGAGACAACGAAGGCTAACATCCCTTTGACACTATCCTAAAGGAATGCCAACATCATCTTCCTATATCTTTCAGTGGAGTCTTATTGTGTCTCATTGCTGCAAAGAAAGACTGTGGAGAACAGCTGTGAAGAGACTAACTTCCAAACAATTTTCCAGCTGGTCACCTAGACAGCAACAACATGCTGTACACACAAACTCAGTAAACAAAACTGTTGGGATTTTTCTTAGATGCAGAAAAACTGAGATTCAAATCCTCACGTATATGAGTCAGGAAAAGCAAACTTATCAACTTTGTGAGATTTTTAAGAGTACACTTTAAAACAGCTCTGCTATTTGAAAAACATCACTACTGCATGTTATCATTCAAAGTAGTATCTGTGATGTGTGGAAGCCACAAAATATTTCCAAGGGGTAATTTCTTTCTTGCTATCTTCTAGAAGGTGAAAGCAGCCCAGGGAATGATTGCTTAAAGGGCTATCATGATCTTAGGCCTTATATTTAAGTCTTGAAGATGTTTTATCAGATAGCAGAAAGAAAAGTAGGAAGGGAAACCTCTCCCTTGCTTACATTATTTGCTTGCCCACATTTTGAGTCACTTTTAATCAAGCAAGTAAGACACTGAATCTTTGAGTTTATATACAAGCTGTACAAAAGCTTTCAGTGAGACAAGTGTTTCCAGGACCAGAGTTTTAGGAAAAAGTTTTACACATGGTTTTTTAACAGGTCAAAATCATCTGGATGATTCAAGAGCAATTACAAAAGTTGAAGAAGTCTTCTCTTAAATAATTTTGAATAAACAGACTGGATTTCATGTTGAAGGCATACCCTTAGCTGAATGCAAATTATGTTCCTTTTGCAGAGCCTGATCCTTCCCTGTTAAATCTATTTAAATTTTGACAGTCATCACAGGCACAAATAAGACTGCACAGGCATTTAGGAAACTCTTATGGTCTTGCTCCAGTTACTGGCTTTTTTACTTGTGGCAAGCATTAAAAGCCTGTAAAAATAGCACACTGCTGTGTGTACTGAGCAAACAGTGAAGCTCCCCACTGAGAAAAATGCACATTGGTGTCACTGGCTTCCCAGGTTTTGATTCCAAAACTTTTTCAATTCATACAGTGCAGCTTGAGGCAACCAAAACAGACTGCTCAGACCTGCAGCTTTTTCCTTTTTTGAGAGCTAAAAGCATATGTCATTACCGTCCAGGCAGCAACTTTGCAATCTCTGCCCATCTGTTTCCCAGCCTCTTGTGTGCCTGGTAAATAATTCTATCTTCCTCTTCTGTCCAGGAGGTTTTCTTCACTTCTGGATTCAAGTGGTTGTGCCACCTCTCCCTGCACTGTTTTCCAATCCTTCCTTTCAAATGCTTAGCAATGACAGACCAGCGCTTTGGACCGTATTTCTGCACGAGCTCTATTACCTTCAAAGAATGACATAAAAACTGCCTGTATTTAATGATGCATGATGAATCAATGAAACTTTTTTCTGTGGTGAAGCAATATTTTTGACAACATTTCTCAAAACTGCCGAAGTAAAACTAATAGCAATTAAGGTTCCCCACTTCCCATTCATATTTTTACCCAAAAGGAAAAATCTGGTAATAGTTAAGGCATTTCTAGACTGCAATTCCACATTACAGTGCTGTAAAGCAACAGTAATTTATTTGCATAGCAAACTCAGAAAGCACTACACAAATACAATCTGCCTCTGGCCATAATAATGTTGAGACCACCAAAGTTTCCAGTTTTCCCCCAACACTTGAGAAATCTGCTTGTAAGTCATTAATCAGACAGAAAGAAAAACTGATTACCTACCCTTTGATCCTCCTCTTTAGTCCATGGACCTTTAATAAGTTCTGGGTTTAGTACCTTCTGCCATCGGTGCTGGCACTGCACATCTGTCCGATTCTAGTGAAATGTGAAATACACAAAGCAGATAATTCTTTAGAAAAGGTGAAAGTAGAGTAAGAATGCTCTTATTTACATACACTTGTTTTGATGGATTTCACTACCAAGACTACTAAACAACACAGAGTGATAGAGTAAGTCTGAGAAGAAGGTGGTCAACTCTCAATTTGCTCACAGAATAGATAAGGCTTCCATCACTTCTGCATTGAGGACTCCATCACCAAAATTACACAAATTTTATCTTCCCCATCTGCACAATAGCTGGCATGCTTTCACATGCTTTCACAGCAACAGCCAAACACAAAGCAAATTTCTTCAAAATCATACTTACAATTCACCAAAGCTGGTTTTTTTTTGCTGTGCTGAGACATTTTGTTTCATTGTAACATTGACCATCTACTGTGCAAGTCCCCACCATCCCCCATTTTTGCTTGTTTGATTTTTTCCAACCCTTTCTGAGAAGTGAAAGGAAAAAATAAATGTAAGGGTTTCCACAGTAATCTAACTGCATTTCTAAGGCCTCCATTTGTGGAAGTTTTATAGCTCCCCTGAAAATGTAACTATAAAGCAACCACTCCCCTTCCCCTTTAATCAAGGAAACCCCTTGACAGAGTTCCTACTAAGCCTGGAAACAGAAACCAATATCCACTTACAGGAAGGAAATTGGCAATGACTTTCCAGTCTTCTGTACCATTCTGCTCCACAAGCTTCTTCAACTTCTCATCCTGAATCATAAACCCCCCCCCAGATATAATTAATATTGCAATCTCTGAAATAATTTTTAGAATTCGTTCTTGTAGCTTCTTATGCATCTACTTCTGCTTTCTGAGTGTAAGGGAGGGTGGTCTGCAGACTTTGCATGCTTTTAATTCCTAAAGCATAAGATTTTTCCACTCCTTTGGATTTTGGTAGGTTCTTTACTGTGTTGCAGGAGAAAGACTGTACAGTTCTTTGACTCACAACATGCATTCACTTTTTACTCATCAAAGCACTGTAACTGTTATTCTTGGACTGGATTTGCAGGAGGAAATGGGTGTTTAGATGCCAAGCATCAGAGTAACCTTGAAATTCAGCAACACTCAGGCACTCAGCTACCTGGGGACCTCTGATAATCACAGCTTTAAGCTTTTTATGTCTTGTAAGTAATGGGAGTTCCAGTGACTTGCTCATGGCCTATCCACCTACAATAAATGCACAATAAAACTAACAGATCCTTTTTGCTCCTGTTCTCTGTGAGGGAGTTTTGCATACTTGTAAATAGCAAAAAATTTGGCCCAATCTTTTTAATGATAAGGCCAGAAATATAAACCCTAAAGACAAAAGAAACCAACCTTATGTACTGGGAAAGATCGAGATAGAGTAAAACAATCCAAAAATACCCCAAGAGATAAGAGGAGAAGAGTATCCCTCTCCTTCCCCAGTTACACCTCCCAGTACGCTCCCAGTTCATGTGACAGGACAATGGCCATCGGACCTTATGGCCATCCTTTCCTCCCGGGCCACATCAGAACCACATCCACCTTTGTAAGGGCAGACTATGATTTAAAATAAATAAATAAAAAGCTTGCAAGGGGTGACCTGCCACTGTTTTTACATCAATACACATTGCTAGAGAAGAGAAAGTCAAAACATAACTCAGAAAGTGTATTAATGTATTCCACAACAAACTCAAACCAGTTAAATGGCCAAAGGAGATCCACCTGGCAAAGGAGTCTGATACCACAATTTTCCCAGAAAGTCAGCACAAGGGTATCACAACTAATTCTGACCTTGAAAAGCAAAATGCATCCTGAAGGCTCAGTTTTGGTACTGCTGGATTTCTCTCCTCCAGCTTTTACTTTACTTCCACTTGGAATCATAACAGTGCAATCAAAGTGCAAAATTCCAGCGGTACAGAAGGACTGCAGCAGTTTTGGCCACAGTGGTTTGCTGCTGTGGGACACTGAACACACATGGGTTTCTCTCATAGCAACAGTTTCCAAACAGAAAGAGGAAAGTAGCAACAATGAAGCATTGCTACAGGTGATTTGGAATCTGCTTCTCCAACAGGGATTACACAGAGATTCACACATCACATACTTTAATGCAGAGCATGGCAGAAATTAAAAAGTTGTGTTTATATATTTCATTTAGAAGGTAAGAACTATGCTCAAATAAAACACGGAATGTAGCTAGTGGGTCAAAAAAGTTGTCCTGAGATATGGGACTGTCACTGAAGTAAATTTGCAGATTAGCAATATGGTGAAGAACATGAAGCAGCTTAGAGAAGAATGTGATCATGCTCTCTCTTATCTTTTTACATGCAGGAAAGGAATGAACTTGGATTTACCTCCTCACGGGTCCACCTGGTTTTTCCTAAGTGACGTTTTCCAGTCTTAGGAAGCAGACCATCATAGTCGTGATCATACACCTCAACATCTTCTTCATCATCATCACTACTATATATACTGCAAAAGCAAACACAGCAAGACAGAGTGGAGCATGAGGACTTGAGCTACTTAATTCAAAACACAAAAAACCCCCCACTACAATCCTTACAAAGGTTACACAGATAAAAGTTTTAAAACTTGCACAACAAGATTTTGTTCTGCATTCTGTTGTTCTAGTATTCTGAACTGGTTCTGCTGTTTTTGGTATCCACAGATACAGGCAAAGGGCTGGCAACCTTCGTATTACTGTGCATGTTTAGACCTGCTCCTAATGTTAGATCAGTGGTGAATTACACATTTGGCAAACTTTCAACCAATGAAGGTTTCAAATTAAAATACAATGTTTGGGACAATAAAGACGATTAGAGGCTGTGTCCAGTACACGAGTACATGTTTAAGATCTTTAACTCATGCCATACATTCTGAAAATATTAGTGGTTTTTGTATGTTTAATACAGCAGATTGTTATACTGCTCCAAAATAAAACCGACTGTGTAGCAAAACAAAAAGCTAAACAATAACCTTGTTTGAGAAATTGTTTATGGACCCTATATGAGAAGGCACAAGTTTTTACAATAAGTAAAGACAGTAAGTGGCAGCATTAACACGCAATAAGCTCTTATATAAAATATGCCCTCCATTTATGAGTTTGGACAGATAAGGACTGAGGACAAGTTTGTTTAATCCTGCAACCAACAAATGAATGACTGAATCCTTCTATAACTTTATTACCTCTAATCTATTTCTAAATCCCTCATACTGTTTTTGAAATACTCTGCTCACCTAATTCATGACTAAGGGATTTCCCCAGAGGCTATCTATGGGTAAAAAGGACTCCATGACTCTTTTCACAAACAGCACTTTCTCTACCTAGCTAATTAAATCTAAAAGAGAGTGTTTTGCAACAAGACATGGCTTTCTGGTGGACAGTATTTTACTTCTAACTTTTAAGGTATGAGCAGCAGTTCTGATACTTCAGCTAAGAGATGCTAGCCACAAGTGTTAGAAAGAAGTCAGTGTCATTAAGATTAAAAACTGTGATATATCTGATGGTATGGCATGCTGTGGTATGTTAAAACTATGACTAAGACATTAAAATAAAGTTATTTTGTAATAAAATTAACAGGCGCTGTTTATGCTGTTAACCTGTTTTCAGGAGATCACTTTCAAATAAGTTGCAGTGAAGCACGGTGACTCTTTGTCAAGATGCGAACACCCCCGAAAGGCAAGCTGCTGAACATACATTCTTTAAAAGTACTGGGCTAATCACACCTTACATCTTCCAGCCTGTTTTCTGGCCTGTGTCATGAAAGAACATGCTTACATGCTACATGTAAAAAGTTTTCCACAGCCTGCTGTGATGTGTGTGGTCATCCTGCAGCCTCTGCCGGGTGCCCCTGACTCACCCATCGCTGCCACCCCCAACTCGCGCCCACTGCGCCGCAGTCCTGCAGGGCCACGATTCACTCCCTATTCCCCAGACCCCGTAACCACTGGGAGCAAGCCCCGATGGAAGCTGCCACTCCGCACGCACCCCTCGCTGGCAGCTGGAGCCGCCCGTGCTTGAGCAAAAGCTCCCACGCTCCAGCTGCCACAAGCGCGGCTCCGTCCCCAGCCGCCGCTCAAAGCAGATTCACTTTTCTCAGTGACACACAGAGACAGCTGCGCCGCTGCCCATATGCCAAAGGAAGTTTTGTGGCACAGTTTCCAAGTATCATTTTGAAAATGAGTTTTCCGTAGACGGCAACCAGTAGGTACGCATCCATCGGCCGCGCTTCCTGCGCCGCAGGGAAACGCCGCTCTGCAGCAGCAGCAGCACAGCATCAGCGGCCAACACGTTTAAGGACTTCAGTGCGGGGCCAGTTCTGTAACAGGGTTATTTAAATGACTGGGGCCTCGCTGGCACCGCAGAACCGAGCAAACTCCACTGTACTACCTGCGTTCTCCAGCAGGAGAAAAGCGCCCGGGGATTCCGGGACCCTTAGTAGTTTCTTCAGTCAACCTGGCCTTCAGCAGTGCTATAAACTTTATTTTGCACCTCCGGCCGCAGACCCGAAGCCTCCCCCCAGGCGGCTCGGCACGGCACGGCACGGCACGGCGCTCTGTCCGGCCGGGACAGCGGCAGTCCCCCTGCCACCCATCAGCGCTGCGCTGTTTGCCGAGGCAACCGGCTTGTGCAACGATACACGGGGAAAAAAGCGAAAAAAAAAAAGGGGAGGGGTAGAGGAAATGACTCGCTGCTGTTACCGTGATTGAAGGAATTCGGGCACCAGCCCCGCGGGGCAGAGCCCGCGCCCGCTGGATCAGGCGGACACCGCACCGTGCCGCCCCGGCCTCCCGTCCCCGAGCGGCGGACGTGTCCCTGCGGGAGGCGCCCGCGAGGCAGCGGTAGCTGTCTCTCTCTTTCGGGAGAGACGGGCCGGGTGATTCACCGCCAGCTCTAGCGACAGCCCCGCTCCGACACTGAAAGTACAGCCCGGCGCTCGCCCAGCTGCTCGCCGCCTCCTCCCGCACCGCAAGGCCACTTCCTTAGAAAAAGCCCACCAAGCCCCCAGTCCCATCGGACGCGGCAGGCGCCCGGGAAGCGACAGTCAGGGCTGCGACCTTCTCCCCTGTCACAGCCAGCCAAAGGGGTGGGGAGGAGGGGAGGATGCCGGGCTGCAAAGAGAAAAAAGCTTCCACGTGTCCGACCCGCCGTCCCCGGCTAATTAGACAACAACCCCGCTCTGTGCGCCCGCGCGGCAGCGGGGCCACGGACGCGGCCACGCGGCGCTACCGCCCCGTCCGGTCCAGTCCGCCGCCTCCGGGGCACCGCCGCCCCCGGCCCGGGCGCTGCGTGGCGGGATCACGCTGGCCCGGGTGCGCGGCAGGCGGGCGGGCACGGGTGACAGCTCCGGCCGAGCGCTCCGCCGGACCCGCAGCCCCCCGCCCGCGCTGCCGCGCTCCGGCATGTGCCGAGTGGCGTGTACCGGGAAAAAGCTAAGCCACTCAGGCCAGAGTCGCGCTTCCAAGGGCGAAAACGCCGCACGAATAAAGGAAACAAAAAGTCGAGGGAGCGAACCGAGTCCCCGCACTCGCCGCCCACCTGTCGCCTCACCCGGCCGGGAATGAATGAATGAATGGGACGGGACGCGCTACCTGCCGCCGCCGAGCCCGCCAGACATTGTCCCGCCTTGCGGCTGCGGGGCGCGCAGCTCCGTCGGGCTCCGCGCTGGTTCCTGCGGGCGGCGAGCACCGGCCCCCCGCCGGCGTGCAGCGCGGGGCCCGAGCGCCCCGGCACCGGCGGCTCCGCGGCGCGTCCCGCTGGGCTGCAGCTCCACCGGCGCCTCCGGAGGAGGGGAGCGCCTCGGCACCGGGGGCGGAGTACGCCAGGTGCACGGAGGACGGGGGTCTGCCCGCCCGTCCGCCGGGCGAGCCGGTTGTCTGCTGCCGCTTTCCCCCTCTCCCGTCCCGCGTCCCGTGTGACAGGCGCGGAGCGCAGCCGGCCGTCCCCCGTCCGCAGACAGCGGGTTACCTGTGCCGGGGTCTCCGGGACATCCTCGCACCGGCCGCTGGGGGAGGAGGACGGGGGAGACCGAGCCCGCGCCCGCCGCCGCGCCCTGCTGCCGGGCTGCGCCTGGGCGCTCCGCCGCCGCGCACGGGAGTGCCGAGGAGCCGCGGGAGGAGGAGGAGGAAACAGGTTGAGATTAAAGAGTAAACTCTGTAAACAGAGATGCCATCAAACAAAGGGCCCTTGGACACTCCCCCTCCCGCCAAATCTGGCGCCCCTGCAGTGCGCAGGCGCCTGGCGGGCCCGTGCCGCGGCGGCGGGGC